CAATTAACAAGAGTTAAAAGCTAAGACCATCAAAAGACATGGAAGACTCTCAAGAATTGCAACAGAATAAAATCAATAGAAAATATGAATGCTTGGAACATAAGAGTGCAAGGTAGAATGCCTCAAAATTCAACAACAAAATGGCATTCACCAAGAATCAAGATAAAATTTAACCAAGCAGTCAAAATTGAGAGACGAGCTAATCATGAAACAAGCAATAGAATTTCAAAAAATTAAGCCCACAAGAGATTCCAATAATGACAATCAGAACACGGATTCAAGAGCAGATATAATTAGAATGTCAAGATCTAGCACTTCAAGTACTAGAATTAATTAACAGAACAAAGCAATGGCTGGAATCAAGATGCCTAGAAGATTCATGTCTTCTAATTAAAAGGGCAAACAAAAATCCAAGCAGCCAGATCAAAGAACCATTTCACTTGGAACAAAACTCTAGGGCATCAAGTATTTCAAGGACTACCCCTTTACCTCGTAGCTCATGGAGACTACAATCTGCTTAGCCTAGACATTCTAGAGTCAAGTCAAGCTAAGACATCAAGAATACAGAGACTAACACTTGCGAGAGATAGGAATTAGGATGCCTCACATAGATATTTCCTAATAATCATCACCCCTCCTAAAGAGGTGTCCATATGAACAAAATCAAAAATCAAGAAGATCATCAAGTATATTGACACAAGAACTAGCAGAATATTCAAGATTCAAGCAAGAGCAGTATACAAAATTTGAACAAGAATGAGTGTCAGAACAAGAATGGTTTTCAAGGACAACTCAAAATAGATTTCAAGAACAGTGCAATAATTAATTTCAGACAAGAATCAAGATAATGAGGATTTCAATAATCACTATCCATTTCTGGATTTCAGTTTCAAGAACAAGTACAAAGCAATATCAAGAAAGATTCAAGACGGATTTCAAGAGTTTCAAGCAATTTCAGGTATCAAGAATGTAGAGATTGGCAACAATAGAGAGTTTAACTTTATGACAACTTGCCAATCTTCACAAAAACAAGGCAATTTCAATTGAAGGATCACTGCTCTTGATTAACCAATATAGAAATATGAGCCACATGAAAAGACCATGAAGCTCCAAATGGAAAAAGTGAAATTTCACTATAAAACTTTCAAAAAGATAAGGAGCAACGGAATTACCAAGTTAATCCAGCTCCTAACACGCATCTAGAAAAACACACAACATTGGCTAAAATAGCCTTGAATCTCTTACAAAGTAGAGGGTTGCCCATCTTCCACTGGTCATGTGACAAATAAAACAAATTCTCCACCAGCTATGCTGTAGAGACTAACAGGATCAATAACAAAAGATCTCTACAACTCCCCAGATTTCACAATTGTGGCAAAAGAGCACACAAAATTCTATTCACGTAACAAGCCTAAACAAGTGCGGACAATCAGAAAATGACCAAGTTCAAAACAAGGTCTTCAGGACATAACGGGCAAGATTACTTTCACAACTTCATACAGAGTATGAAGGCAAGAAACAAGAACAATCAGATCACCATCTCATCAAAATGGATTAGAAAATTCAGGCAACATGAATCAGAATTGTCCCTTATATAAACCCATCACTCGTCTCACCACGGTTCTAAAATCCACTGGCTAGCCAAGTCCAAAACAAATCCTAGGTATTCAATTAAACCTAGGCTCGGATATCACTCAATCTGCTCTGATGCCACTCAATCTGGAGGTGCTTAATTTAATCTTAAACTCTTAATTTAAACCTAAGCTCTTATACCACTCAATCTCCAGATATCTAATTTAACCTAAGCTCTGATACCACTAAATCTCCAGATATCTAATTTAACCTAAGCTCTGATACCACTAAATCTGTCACGCCCCAAAACCCAATTTCGAGACGCGACAGACGTCGTGCATTCGTGAGACGGGTCCCACAAATGCACAAGGCTCGAAACTTATCAAATTCACACTCTGATACCATCAAAATCTGAAGATCAAATCTTTA